CTCGTGCGTGCGGCGGGCCTCACAGCCCTGCCGCACGTAGGCCGGCGACACCAGCCTCTCACCGGCCGCGAAACTCTCCGGGTTCATATTGGCGATAGCAAAGGTGGCGTTAGAACAGTTGACACCGGGACGAACACCCAATAAAACCAGGACGCCACTCGCCGCCCGGACGGTACGGCAACGCCTAGGGCCAAACTTCTGCGTCTCGTTCTCGCACCTGCGCAAAGTGCCCCAGAAAGTGGACCCGAAACTGGTGAATTGGAGCATGCGCGGCGGGCTCCCGCGGGGCTGAAAATTAGCCCCGCCTCGCTGCCTCTGATTGGTCAGGTTAATCCTTGGGCTTTCTGAGCCGGACTTGAAGGACTTTGCACTCAGGAAAGGGAAGGGCCACTGCGTGGGGGTTTCGAAAGAAAAAATGTCCTAAGTTACCCTGTGTCCCAGTCCTGTTGAAATGGTGAGATTTGCGCCGAGGCTGTGCTTCAGTTTCCCAGATTCCAGGACATTTCATTCAACCTTCATACGTCTCACAACCCTTAGGAAAAGCAATTCTCACTCCTTTTCTCCTTTGCACTACAGAAGTTTTAACCCTACTTCCCGCAGCCTTATATGACAGACATTTGTCATTACACACATACACACACACACACACACACACACACACACACACACACACGAATGTAAACTCTCTACAGACAGGTGCTTGGTTTTTACTGCCATACCCACCCCCACCCCCACTCCCAAGCTCCTAGAATAGTGCCCAGAATACAGTCAGGGCTAATTTTTTTTTAATTTGCAACAACCTAGTGCTAGGTGCGGGAGATACAGAAATGAAAAGGCAGGATCCCTGCCTTCGATTTCCTTACCATCTTCCCTTTAGGTTTGGAGAATCTACAGTAATTCCAGACATTGCTTTTGTCTTGGGGCTTGCTAGAGCCCATTTGCACTGGTTCCCACTTGCTTGCAAAAGCTGATGGTTAAATGTTCAGTAATGTTGTGAGCTGGTTTTTAAATGTAGCTGTTCTTTAACAACAAATTAGGTAAGTTTATACTTAAGTTAACTGTATTAAAAGCAAAAGTAACAAATGCCCGAACTCATCACTTCCTAAGTGTTTTACTATATTTTACTATTACCTATGCTTTTGACATTATTTACGTCGATTGTATTTGTATAGGGAAATAGGATGTAATGGTGTGCTGATGCACATCTCTATCCAACTTCCTTTTTAGGTGGCATCATGTTGGTAGCTTGAAATGGGGGAGTATTTACACCATGGAAACCAGCAAATGCTGAAAATCAGGCCCTTATCTCTCTACCTCCTCCCCACCAGGAGTCAGTGACTTAACATGTACCAACTCACCACTGTTCCTACTGCATGTCCTCAGGGTATCCTGCCATTTATCAGCCATGATATTATCCAATTGCATTTCAGTTGTTAACTTTCTGTCTTCCTTAACTAGACTTGGAGCTTCTAGTTTACAGGGCTATATTTCATATCTGTGTTCAAAGCACACACTGAACACATAATGGATGTTCAACCAATATTTGTTGAATGATGTAGACAATTTGAGAACTGTAAAACTACACAGAAAGATAAATTGCAAAAATAGTGAGGAATTAGCTTATTTTTTAAAAAACACACACACACTGGCCTTCAAACTTTGGAAAAGTTGAGATCTTATTCCCAAAATGCAACTATTTTCACAACTTTTCTTTTGGAAAAGCTTTCAAGGCTGCTTTGTAGATCACATGCAGGATATGCAAAAAGCCCAAGATCCATCTCATTACTGAATGCACACACTAGGCATTGAGCCAGTAGGTTCTCTCTCATTATTCACCAGTCTTCATTTGGAAAAATGTTTGTTTCCAAAACCTAAATCCATCAAGACATGCCATCATTGAAGTTTTTTTAAAAAAAATGCTGGCTGTGGAGACAATTTCAAAAGAAGTGTTCCAAAATTATTGTCACCCATTCACTCATACAATGACAAATTTTGAGTACCTACTATTTCTAACAGATAGGGCAGCATCAGAATAATTTTATGGTCTTTACAAGATGGACCTTAAAAATAGGTCCAACATTTGTAAGTCTGAATTTTGCTTGTTGTCACTAGTTGTATGGCCTTGGATGCATTACTCATAGCCCCTTGAGCTTTGCTTTTTCTTGTCTGTAAAAGAGGAACATGGAGGAGATAGTTATGATGATTAAATGAAATCTAACTTCTCAATGACATCTTCACCTTGATAGACCGATTATACCAATGGACAAGGGCTAGATGAGAACCCCAACCCCACAACCTCAGAAGCAAGTAGCCCAAGAAGCCAACCCAAAACCCAGCAATCTGCCCAGAACAATTAGAACACGGTCCATGACTGCCAGTTTCCCAACTTTTTCACCTGCGTCCACCTCAGAACCAACCATAGAAAGCCAAATATGCCCCCCAAACTGACATACGATGTTCATTTCTTTAACCAACCCCCATCTTCTCCCTGCCTATAACCGCCAACCAGAACACACCTGAATATTTCCTCATTCTTTTACCATACAGCTTTTCCACTGCCCTGCCTGCCTTTGAGTCGCCCCAATGCAAGTAGAGTGACTATCTCCCTTGCTCTAGAAAGCTCTAAAAATCTGTTAGTTATTTGGGTGGTCTCCGTTTATTTCCAGTTTTCCTGGAAGACTCCATGGAGATATGGTCTGCACTGTCCAGCCTTCCACCAGATGAGGTACCCACAGAGGCCCCTTGTACCTTGCTGCTTGTGGCTTCGTCAAGTCTGTGCCCTTGTGGTATGTCACTGCTGGATATGAACTCTGCTGTCTTTGCGTTGAGTTCCTCAGCTATTTATTCTAAATTTTGTGCCCGGGTTTTGTTATTGGTTCCCATTTGTTAGGCATCCTTGGTAGAATCATTCTATTCCTTTTCATCCTTGTTGGCTCCCTTTCGTACTTCTATTTTGTAGTGTGCTGCCTACAAGTGTTGTTTGTCATAGGAAGCAGAATCACAGGGTGCAACACAGGCCCAGGCCCTTTAAGCCTGTTGTTGGAGCGGCCTTAGAGACCAATGAGTTTGCAGTTCTCTCCAGACTGGCATTCATTTGGACATACTTTGTTGGGGTAATCAATAGCACCTTTGCCTGAACTAAAATACCTGTCAGAACATTTTGAGAGGGGTTTAGAATAAAAATGAGATAGAATCCAAAATAAACTATGATCTTGCAGATTAAACAGCTTAAGTGGCCCACTACCCAAGCCACCATTTTTGACAAGGACAGCATAGATAGTATAAACAGAAGGGACACTGGAAAAAAGAATGTCCAGTTTTAGAAAAACCAAGGTAAAGAAAATCCCTCAATTCTGATCAATGTAGGCGCTCTGGAGAAGAAAAAAGATCCCAATACTCTGATTTTTACCCTAAACACTCAAGTTCAACAAATATAGATGGTCACACTCATCAATTCCTGGTAGGTAAGGATGTTCCTCTTACTACATTAAACCCCTCATCTTTCCTCTACCTCTTCCTATCTTTCAAATCACCCACATATTTTTTCTATCTCCCAGCCCTTAACTGTAACCCTTGGGCACTTGAATGAGAAACATTCCTTCCTACTCTATGGGACTTCACCCCTGAAAATTTAATAAAGAGAGACTTACGCTGCAAGTGGAATTGTAATATTAAATGCTCAATAGAGGAACTACTTCTTAAAGTTCCAGAGAAGTTTTCTGTTCATAATCAAGTTGTTTCTGCCCTGATATACCTTTGCCTTCCCCATTATATTCGATACACACCCAGATAATGGTCTTAACATTGAACCTGACATCCTATGACCTTCAAAGTCCACTGACACCGAAAACATAATTGGGGTAGAACCGAGTGAGTAGATAGATCCTACCAAACTGTTGCCCAAACACCCCAATATTCCTTAAAGTCAGAAACAGAGCAAGAGCTCAAAGCTATAATTGAAGGCCTTATATCTTTCAACTATAGGTCTTCTCAGACCCTGCGTTAGCCCTTGTAATGCTTTGGTCTTGCAAGGAAAGAAACCAAATGGGTAAAGACATCTATTTTTTCAAGACTTCAGAACAATTAACAAAATTTTTGTTTCTCACTTGCGGCTAGTACTGATCTTGGCATCAGTTCTACCTGAAGCTACTTGCTCCACTGTACTGGATTTTTGCTTGCCTTTTTTTTTTTTTTTGATGTGCCAATCAGGATACCACATTGCTTTCAGTCATCGTGTCTCTCTAGTGTCCTTGGTTTATGACAATTTACCAGTTTCTTCTTCTTTTCCATAACTATGACAGTTTTGAAACGTGCTGGTTAGATATTTTCTAGAATGTTTCATCATTGATCTTACTAATTCTCGCTTTGTTCTCTATTTCCCTAAAAATCTGGTCTCATCTTTATTATTTCTTTCCTTCTGCTTTCTTTGGGTTTATTTTCTATTCTTTTACTAACTCTTAAGATAAAATCTTAGCCATTTTTTTCTTTTCTGCTATATGCTTCCCTCCCTCACCCCCACATACACACACTATTAGCAAAACCAATTATTGTTTCCATGAAAAAAACTAAGGGTGAGATGAGAGGGAGAATCCAGGTCCAGTGGCCAGGAAAACTGCAAGAAAGGAGAGGGCAGGGGAAAATATGCAGCAGGTGCCCAGGGAAGGAGAGAAGAGGCCAGATTTCCAATTGGGTTTTGAAACGAAATGTACACTCTAGAGCAGTGGTTCTCAACCTTCTGGCCCTTTAAATACAGTTCCTCATGTTGTGACCCAACCATAAAATTATTTTCATTGCTACTTCATAACTGTAATGTTGCTACTGTTATGAATTGTAATGTAAATATCTGATATGCAGGATAGTCTTAGGCGACCCCTGTGAAAGGGTTGTTCGACCACCAAAGGGGCCGCGACCCACAGGTTGAGAACCGCTGCACTAAATCCTGCTGTAAAGGTGGGTGTAGAAGGAAGGCAGATCAAAAGCACCTGGTCCCTCTGACTTACACTAATATGAGCCTGTATGCCAGGTGCTGCTCTGAGGACTTTACCTGCAGTAGCTCTTCCAATCTTCCCAGCCACCCTATGGGCTAAGCCCAGAGAAGCCAGGTGAGACTGCACCATTAGTCAAGGGAAATAGCCAGGATTCACAACAAGCTGTCTGGCCCTGTAGGCTATGCTCTTAGCCACTTTCCCCCACTGTCAGAGCCAATGGGGCATCTCGGGCTCTCGGCTTTAGGCAGGTAATTATGCAGCCTGAAAGTTCTGTCCACTGGGATGTGGATGGAGTAACAAGAATGTAGCCAGAAATGTAGAGAGGACAGGTTGCCAAAGTATATTATTAAGTCAGCAAGCCCACTAAATCCCATGGGCAGAAAAGATCGCTGCCATCAGGATTCCTTGATTCTGAAAACCCAAAAGTCATCACAGACATCTCCACTCCGCCACCACTCAGATCTCATCTATCGGCAATCTTGTCAGGCCTCACCCCACCCCTTTCTCTCCACCTCCGCCACCACCACCTAGTCCAAGCCTCTGTCATCTCCCCACGGCAGAGGACAACCTCAGTGGCCTGGCTGCTGCCACTTTTGTGTATCATCTCCCATTCCCGTCCTGTCCCACTCCGCAGAGATAATTATCTTTTAAGTATCCACCAGATCACATCTTTCCCCTGCTTGGAATCCTTCAACTCTTTCCCATCACACTAAACATATAATCCAGACTCTTCACCTGGACTTAAAAGGCCTTGTAAGGTCTGGCCCTCATTGATACTGGGTGCTATCCTCCCTCGAGCTGGTGGGCTCCCACCAATTGACCTCCTTGCGGAATATGAAACACACCACATGTTTATTTTCCTGCCTCCAAGCTGTACTTGCTGCCTTAAATGATCTTCCCCTTCTCATCTTGCACAGAGGGCTCCTGCTTTTCCTTCACTGTAAATGTCACCTCCTCTGAGAAGCCTTCCCTGACCACGTTATCAAAGTGGGAACCTAGTTTGAAGTAAAAACGTATTTTCCCCCAAATTATTTTATGAGTAGATTACTTGTGTAAGCAACTGGATTAGAAGCTTTTGGAAAACAAGAAGCTTGACTTTTTACCTACTCTTCCTAGCACCTAGCATGTGCCTAGGACATGGCATGCATTCAGAAACATGTTTGAGTGAATAAATGGTAAACAAATGATAAATGAAAAGAATGGGTCCCATTGATGGCTTATCATGTGATGGTTGCTGAATAAACCCAGAGGTGGAGAGAGGAGAGAGGGCAGGAACCAGGGACAAAGAGGTGACACCTCATGTGATGAGGGTACTTACTCCGAGGAGATGGTTTACAGTGGCAGATGCAAATACACAAAGAATGACCACATCCCTTTGTCATTCCATTCACATGTGTTCCACAATGTTTGGGGTAGGAAATGACAAGTCTCTTAAGAAGCATGGCAGGATCTGGCTGTCATCAACCTCATTAATGCGGCCGCTCAAGCAATTGGAAGCAAAATAACTTCCCCACCAAGGCCAAGCTTCAAAGAGCAGTTGGAAGGAGGAAGGGAGGGAGCCGTAGAATCAGTAACTAGGTTGTTCAGAGAAGTCTCCTCTGATTAGGAAAAGAAAAAAATATATATAGTAATTACATTTTGCTGAGACTCAGAGAATTCTGAAAGCCTGGTCTCCCCTTCATCTTCTCTACTTCAGATGGAGAGAGATGAAATAAAGGTAGATGTGGATGTAGCAGAAAGTAATTTCAGACCTTCCCTGGGATGAGTAAAGCAATTCTCTCTCCAGTGGGAGGACAGGTAGGTAGAGAAAGCTTCCTCCAAGCAGTGAAACTGCTGAGATAGTTGCAAAGTTACAATACCCAGTTAAGAGCAGGAGCCAGAGAAAAGCTGCAGGAGACTTGTCAGGAGTCTGTGAACTGGCCCAGAGCTAGGCTTGCTGACATTTGAAAGGGAGTGAGAAAGAGGCATGGACTGAGGGTGATGGCAGGTGGTAGAGCAGTGATGACAGGATGTGGTCCAGGAGTGGTGGTGAAGGCAGGAGGAGTTCAGAGCCTGGCTCCTCTTCTTCCTCCAGCATAAATTTGCACAAATTACCCAATCTCTGTAGGCCCCAGCAGCTCACTCCACTGTGAAAGGACCATAGTAAGGGCGAGGGGGAGGCAGTGACGGATGTTCAGGGGTCAGCACAGCGCGTGCCACAGAGGGAGCACTCAACACATGTGAGACCATGATCTCTGCTGTTGCGGCCAGTCGTTGCCAGGAAGGTGAGTAAGCCATTAGACCAGGGGTGGACAAACTTTTTGACTCGAGGGCCACAATGGGTTCTTAAACTGGACCGGAGGGCCGGAACAAAAGCATGGATGGAGTGTTTGTGTGAACTAATGTAAATTCAAAGTAAACATCAGTAGATAAAAGGGTATGGTCTTTTTTTTTCAATAGTTTTATTCATTTCAAATGGGCCGAATCCTGCCCGCAGGTCGTAGTTTGCCCACGGCTGCATTAGACCCTGGGTGTGGAGAGTGTGAGCTGGCTGGGTGAGCATCCTTCTCTGGGCCTTTCCCAAATGCCCTCCCAGCTAGCAATTCTTAATTCTAGAAGCAAATTAAGTTTGACCAATTAGATGTACTTGCATGTGACTTGGAAAGTGTCCTGCTTCTTTCGACTGTGCGTCGTCATTGGCAAGCAACGCAGTAGAGACATGAGACATGAACAGCCAGTTTCAGCCTTTTGGAGTCCA